GGAGGAGGAGGAGGACGAGGAAGGGGAGGAGGAGGAGGAGGAGGAGGGGTGGCCGCGGCGCACCGAGGTTGAGCGGGAGGGCGAGGGCGCGGAGCAGGGGCGCAGCGACAGAGCGGGCGGGGAGGAGGATCAAGTGGGTTCGGAGGCGGAGGGCGGCGCAGGCCCTGCCAGCCAGGCGGCGGCCTCGCCTGGCGGCGCCCAAGTCGAATACTGCGGCGCGCCGCGCATGCCTGCCATGCGCCGCCGCAAGCTGATCCAGCAGCCGGACGCCACCGTCGAGCAGCTGAAGCGGCAGCTTCTCGTCGGGGTCGGCCACCAGCTCACGCAGCGGTGCGGCCGGCGGGCGACGATCGCGCACCCGCTGACGAGGGGCGGCGAGCCGCGGACCTTTGTCGAGACCGGCACCTACTCTGTTGCCCTCGAGGTCGCCTCTGGGCTACTGCCCGGCATGCAGCTCGTGCCGCGCGGCCTGGAGCTGCGGGTGCGTGCGCGCCTCGTCGCGCACGACGCCGCGGCGCGTGCGGCGCTGGGCGGCGCCGACTCCCTGCTGGGTGACCTTGTCATCAAGGGGTCGAAACACGACAAGCCCAACCCCTACAACTTCTACAGCTTTGACGGCGGCATCACCAGGGCCGCCCGCAACAGCCTACTGCACGCCGGCTGCCTCCAGGCGGCGGCGTTCTGGCAGCTTGAGGCGGTGGGGACCGGCGAGGAGCCCGTGCTGCAAGTGCTCATCACGGGGCCGCAGCAGGCGCCGGCAGCAGCAGCAGGCAGCGGCGCCCGCACGCCTGCGCCCGCGCCGGTGCGGCCGGGCGGGGATGATACTCTTGGGACCACGCCCACGCCGGCTTGGGCGATGCCAGATGAGCCGGCCGGGACCGCGGCGAAGCGGTCGTCTGCGAGCGCGAGCGCCCAGCGCGGCGGCAACAAGCGCGGCCGGGGGCTGGGGGGCGGCTTCGGCAGCGGCGGCGAGGCGGGAGGAGGCGCGTGGGCGATTGGGAGTGATGATGATGGTAGCAGCGCGGACGACGAAAGCGACGATTACCGCCGCGGCGGCAGCAAAAGGCGGAACCAGGGCGGACCGGCGCGCGGCCAGGCAAACGGCGGCGCGGCGCGCCAGCAGCAGGACAAGCGGGCCGCGGGCGAGGAGCTGGAGCAGCAGTTGCGGCGCGCGCTGACTGGGCGGCCGATGGCGCCGCAGCCGCTGTCGCCGGACGGCGCGCCGCGGGGCATCACTGCGCAGGGCAAGTACTCTCTGGCGTCCAGCGTCGCAGCTCGCCTGCTCCCGACCCTGCATCTGCCGCTGCCGTGGGTGGAAGCTGGGAGGACGCCACAGATCCACGCCGCCGCCAGCCTGGTCGCCGCAGACGCCGCCGCGCGCTCCGCGCTCGGCTGCAGCAGCGTGGCTGGCCGCTGCGTGGTCGAGGGCGCCGTCGGCGGCTCCCACGAGCGGCGCCACTACACGCAGCACGTCAAGTTCACGGGCGCGCTGCTGCAGCGCCTGGCCGGGCTGGGGGCCGTGGGCTGCCGGCTGGAGGCCGCGGCGTGGCGGTTGGGCCCAGGAGACGAGCTGATGCTGGAGGTGACCGTGATTGGCCCCGCTGCGCAGCAGGACCCTGGCAGCGCAGGGGTAGCCAGTGCCGGCCCTCGCACCCCGAGCGCGGCGCCCGCGCCTGGGCGCGGGTCCGAGAAGGCGACGAGGCGCCCGCGCGGCAGCGAGGGCGCAGGACCTGCGGCGCCAGCCGGCGGCGCCGACGGTGGCGGGGCGCGCGGGGGACGCGACCAGGCAGCTGGGGCGGCGGCGGCGGCAGCGGCGGCGGGGTCGCCGGCGGCGGAGGGTGGCGCGGTCCGTGGGGGCGGGGGCGGCGGCGGGCCTGCTGGCGGCGCTGACTTTTCACCTGCCAGGGACGCCCCTAAAGTCTCTACGATGGCCGAGGTGAGACGTGGCTCCAGCCTGCTGACCGACAGCTGGGCCCGTGTTGGGCCGCAGGAGCCGGCCGCAGCGGCGAAGTGGAGGTTCGAGGCGGCGCGCGGCGGGGTCTGTCAGCTGCGTGAGGTGCCCGCGTCTGCCAACGGCCCGCTGGCAGCAGGGGCGGTTTGAACCCTGGGCGCAGTGCCAGGCCGACTCCCGCCTCCTTACCTCTGGTCCAGCGCTCCCACCTGGGCCCTGCGCGAGCACCGGGGTCACCCAGGGCACCAATATCCCGCCACCCCGCTGCGCCCTGCTGCGCAGATGTGCTTTGCGGCAGTTGAGCTGGCGGGGAAGGTGCTGCCCGATGACGAAGGTGGGCCGGGGTCAACCGAAGGCTGGCCCAGCCTGCGGGGCTGCGCTGCGCACCAGCGTCAAAAAGTGCGCGCGCGTGCATGCGCCGCACTTTTGCGCCACAACTGCAGGCGGTCCGAATGCAACGCGCCGGAGCGCACGTGCGAGCATGAGGCATACTCAAAGGAGTGGGACGGAGGATACTGTTACGCCCACGCAAACGCGCGTTCGAGCGCGGCCGCAAAACACACATGCACGCACGAACCCATTTGTATGCCCACACTTCGTGTGGCGGGTCGCATGCTGCGCCGCCCGTCATCACAGTCCCCTCGACCCCACCCCCCTCCTTGTCCCAACCTCACCAGGGCTGGCGAACGGCCTGATGGCCGCGTTTGAGCTGGCCAATGACGCCGTGTTGGACGGGAAGATCCAGGACGCGTCAGTGCTGGTGAGAGGCCCTCACACTGCGAAACTTGTGCCTCTGTGTGCTCTAGGTGCACGCGCATGCATAAGTGTGTGTGTTTGTGTGTGTGTGTGAATGTGTGTGTGTGAATGTGTGTGTGTGAATGTGTGTGTGCGTGTGCATGCGCATGTGTGTGTGTGTGTGTGTGTGTGCGTATGCTTGTTGTGTGTGTGGGTTGTGGGCGCATGTGCGAGGTCCAGGGTGCAAAGAAAGACAAGGATGCTTGGATGGGAACGGCGTGCGTGAACGCATGGAGGCGCGAAAGCACATCAGCAGCGCTGGCATGCGCGACCCTCAGACAGTTGGGCTGTCTTGGCCTTTGTTGCTGCAGGCGCAGCTTGGTCAAAGTCAGACACGACCCCGGCCAAACGCCGATGGATTGACAGGCATCGCGGGCTCATCTGAACGTCGGCCTTTTGTGAAGGCGCACTTAACACACCCTGACGAGCTCGCTCCAACCTCAATCATCTCGGCGCGGGCGGTCCCCTGTTGGCGCGCGTGTGGAACCGTGTGCTCTGGCGTGTGTGTGTTCGCAGAAGTGGTGGCCGCCCATCAGGATGACAAGGACTGCGGACGGCGCGGCAAAGGCCCTGAGGACGCTGCAGGCGAAGCTGGAGGAGCTGGCGCAGTCGGCGCTGCAGCGCTAGGTCAAAAGGGCGGCGGCGGCAGCAGCTCTGAGCGTGGAATGCTTCGCGCTTGCAGAGCAGGGAGTGCGGTGCGCGTGTTTGCTGGGCTCAATCAGGGCCATTCAGGCGCGTTCCCGGTGTTGACTACTGTACGGCCCTTGCAGTCGCCGCGCGCCCTTGCAGGGACTGTAGGTCTGGCACGCATTTTTGGACCCCGTAGCGCGAGCGTTCGCTTGCGTCATGCCCTTATACATCGTCCCCCTGCACCCTTGGTTGAGTTAAGGGAGCCTGCGAAAGCCTCTGCGGCGCCCATCCGCCCCCTGCGCCTTTGAGGCACGCCCTGTCCTTGATACGTGTCTACTTTCCTGCCGCAGGCCGCGCTCACAATGCAAATAACACAATTGTGTAAGCAGACCCCAAGTTCTGAGGCAATCCGCAGCCCCAGCGCTTCTCGCCGCGGGCGCAGCAATAACCACTCAGCTGAGGCGAGCCCTCCGGGGCAGGCAGAGCACTCATCCTACAGGCCGAGCTTGTCGCAGGGTTGAGGAGCGCTTTCAAACCTGACCCCTGTTTTTTTTGAGCAGGCCCTTGCAGAGGCGGAGCTGGACACAGCCCTGACGCAGCAGGCAGCTGCGCCGCACGTGACGTCACCGCGACGCAAGCCGGCCCCTTGCGTGGCGCGACACCAGACCAACTCATCTCGGGACTACTGTTACAAGCGCACAATAACAAAAAAAAAGAGAACCAAGGGCTCGACACCACGCGCTGGGCAAACCCCCAGGTCGAACGCAGCCCCCCCCTTGCCTGCTACCGCCTGTCCCGCTTCCCGCGGCCTGTCTTCCCGCTGAAAAGGTGCTTCGGCATCTTAGTGGTGATCACGCGGTCCGCCTCCCCGATGCGCGCCGCCTTGTTGCGCAGCCGCTGCGCGCGGTCCCCCATCTTGGTCGCCTTGTTGCGCTGCGCCGCGTCCTTCAGCCCGCTCGACGGCGAAGGCGCCGCCACCGACAGCGCGCGCCCGCGGCTCATGCTGCGGCTCTTGCTGCTGTGGATCCGCTTCCGCGGCTGCGCGTCGTCGCCGCCGTCCGCGTCCGCCATGTCCGCGTCGCCGCCGCCGCCGCCGCGCCGCTCCGCCGCCGCCGACAGCGACCGCGTCCGCTTCCGCCCGCGGCTCTCCGACCGCGCCCGCGCCTCCGCCGCCCCCGTGTCGATGCCCAGCGCCCCCAGGCTCTCGCGCATCCGCGCCGTCGTCCGCTCCCCCTGCTTCGAATGCTTTGCCGGCACGACGGAGCGGTTGCCTGCCGCGGCCTTGCGTATGCGGTGTGCCGCCACGACCTCCTTCTTCCTGCGGCGTATGGCCTCCAGGTCGGCGGCCTCCTCCTCCCCCAGCTCCTCTATGCCCATCGTCAGCTCAGCCATCTCCGCCTCGTGGGCTGCAGCCAGCTCCTCCTCCTGGGGGGTGGGG